GTGTGTGTGTGTGTGTGTGCAGTACGTGCGTGCCCATAAAAGGTAATCACACTTTGACTTCGTCAATTTGAATATTTATAAACATGGGTTAAATCTCATTTAATATTTAATTTAAACCGTTAATCTTCTTCTTAGTCAATAAATTCTTCATTATTGTAATTTAAAAGTGAGTACGTTTTTGGAGGAGACCGTATATATATAATGTGTGTGTGTGTATGTCTGTATGTATATGTGTAAATGTGCGCGTGATAAATTAACAGTGTAAATCCTCTTTACCTCCAAACAAGAGAAAATTAACTGAACTATGAAATATCTTTAAACTTTTCATAAATTATGTGTGATTGCCTTTAGTACGACGACAGGATACCTCTTTCCAGAACTGATTACTTTTACTTTATTCAACAACCTTGTCTCGTCAGAGACCCCCAAATCAAAATTCATTTACGAGGAAGTCACGTTTTATCTTTCAAGAAAGACGGTTCTCAGATTCGTACTGAAAACAGAAAATAATACATAAAGCGTTTTTGAACAAATATCACTTACTAAAATATCACGACAATGTTACTTAGCCTAAATTCTCGGAGCTAAAATTCTGCCACCTTTTGTTAGCACAAAGTGGTTTTCTCCCACATTTTCTTAACAGTTTTTCTCATGTACGCTTGTGTGGAGGTATGCAATCAACCTATCTCAACAGGAGTTCTTTCATATTTGTTTAGCTTTTTTTCTTTTAATTACTTTTGCCAACACGTTAACCTCTTGCTGTCATCTGCGCATACGATGTCTGTTCAGATATAATCCATTTAATATTAACAGAAATAGCCTACCTTTCTCTCTTATAAGGCACTCATCTTGGGAGGCGATACACTTTGTACAAAACATATGTATCTTTCGGGATCGCGATCGTTCGTACAAGACTTCACTGATCTATTCGCTCAGATGTTGTGAATGCGAACATCACACAGTATAAAAACACGCTTCATTAGGTCTCTAATGCAAAATGAGTGTTCACACAGAAGAGTTTCTGTTCATGCCTGTGCAGTAAAGTCCCCCCCCTTATTGTTTTCCAAGGCCAAGGTTTTACAGATATTAAAGATATGGCTGGATAACCTTCATAGAAATATATTGTACTTTGTAAAGGTCGGAGATGAAAATTATGTGCAATCAGCTTAACATCACACCATGGCTTCACTCTGCGAACGAAGATTTAGTAAGGTTTTCTAAGTTTGTTACAGTCTCTTCTGTGACAAGCTGTCGGCAGTCTCTTGCCCACAACGGTAGTGGAGTCCGCGGGAGACGAGGGTCCTTTTAAAGAAGTACTTTAATCTCTTCCACCCTCACTTTTCAGACGACTATAAACTAGTTCTTCAAACAGGAAGCAACAGTTTTTCATTCTTGTCATGTGGCCCGCCACTGCATGTAAATGTATTTAACCGCAAGCTCACAGGATTTAAATATGACACAGGACCGTGTTTAAAGTGGGACACGCACATAGGACTTGAAGCATAGCCTCAATGTAAGTAACTTTAGTTAACGTGAAGAACTCGGTTTTAGCGTTGGAGTCACAGGTGTGTCCACTGAGAATTATGCAGACACAGTGATGATAGAAACGCTTGTGTAGGTAGAGTTGGAGTTGGTATATACCTCAAAAGTCTAAACAGCGGATTATGGTCTAAAATTATTATTGTCTTGACGTGGCCTTCTCCATAGCTTGAGCTATTTTATATAGATAATGAAACAAATCGATACGAAACTAATTATTGAACTCGTCTGAGATTGAATGGTGGGAAAAGTGATTGGTATTAATCTATCTTATTGGATAACCCTTGTAAACTCTAATTTAATACCAAACTCACCTACTGCCGGTTATTTTATTTTTAAAACTTCCGATGTTATCTCGTTTCATTTTTTGCCTTGTATTTCTACGAGGTCTATTATGTCACATTCACCTTGTACTTAGTCTCTATCATCCTCTTCTTATTTATCTCGCGTTGTCCTTCTCTCTATTATTCTGTTTCTACTACTCGCTATTTCATTGTTTCTGTCTATCTCGATCTGTTCCTCACCTTTTCTATTATTCATTTCATCTCTATCATTCTCTTCTTAGCTCTCTATCCAGTCCTGTTCTTATTTCTTCATTCTATCATTCTATAAATCAATCTCGCTCTGCCTTGCCTGTCTTGTTCTATTCTATGTGTTTTTATCTATAATTATCTACTTATTATTACTACTAGTAGTAATAGTAGTAGCAGTAATATTTGTCAGTCTTTTCCGGCCTTAATCTCTTGACAAGTTTTATAAAATTTAATTTGTCTTTTAATTTACCCACCTGACAGGGAATCGAACTCCGGTCTCACGCATAACAAGCGGGAGAATACTTACCACTGCACTGTCGAAAAGAGAATGAGAATCAAATTCACTACTCAATAGTAAGGGTCAACGATGGCAGAGCTCGTTAACCATTACCACACGCCGAGGTGCTTTGCAATAGTTTAATTTTAGTGGCAGTAATGGAGAGATACTTATCAAGATGATATAAAAGTTGCGTTCAACCACTTTTAACAATTGGCACTTTCTTAAGACTCGCTGTCTCTGGCATTTAGAAGAACAGCAGGACGAACGGAACGGGAGAATCGTGGGAAGTTCCTTACAAGTGGACCTTCCTAACTGAAGCGAAAGCAGAAGATAAAGGTGCTAAATAGCACCACTGTCACATGCTGGGGGTCAGCACCTGCGAGGCGTATCGTATTTGAGACAAATCACAAGAGATATTTATGACAGCCGGGAAATAAGAGCAGACATTGCCGACAAAATTACTGTCACTTAGTTATTATGACGAACGGCGGGTTTCACCTACTTTTCCTAGTTATTGTTTCGTAGGTGTAATTCGCTTTGAATTCCGGGTGAGTGAGTCAGCAAACAAAAATAAATAAATAAGTATGCTAAAATTATTTCAAGAAACATAATAAGTAAATAAATAAATTAAATAAAAAAATATCATATATAAAAAATATTTGAACATATTAAACACGTTAGAATAAATAAATCACACTACCATTCTCATAGAACAGTTGTTAAACTTGCATACACATTTAATATACAAATTATACCAATTACTAAGAGACATGATAAAGTAATGGATTGCGGCTCAGATTGAGGAAGCGGGAAGTCGAGTTCGAATTCCACTTACGTGCTCCCTTGGGGGAGGTATCAATGGAGCGCTAAGCGATGGGTAAATAGCAGGACGGACTGGTAACCGGTCTAGGAGAAGGAAAACTCTGAGTTCAAAACTGTATGTAGCCTTGGCGAAGAACACACTATGCAGCTAACGAAAGGATCGTTTGCATTGACTTGATGATCCCGACAATGGTCGATACCTTTTACTAGGGGACAGAATCATGGAGTAATGGTTAACAAGTTATTCCGGTTAATTATTAGTACGGAGTTAGATTTTAGCTAGGTACCCCATACTATTGGCCTTTTGCCAAACTAAGCTCAGATTAGGAAATAAGAGGTGCCTTCAAATTCGGTAATAGTTAAGGAGTTTATCTAGTTGATCGTGCGTTTGATCCTTACTGGGTGCTCTAAGTTTAGTATATGACTATTATGGGATAGAGATAATACATAAAAATATTTAAATAAATATATAAAAAACTAGAGCTCCCGAGATTTAACAAGATAAGGAGGAATAAAACTATAATTATATATTAAAGCGATAAAATCGAATATGATAAAATAAAAATAAAAATTAATTAAATCAACAAAAAAAAGAGGACTAACAATAACATTACCATTAAGTGGTAATTCTAATGACAAAAGTACGTAGGTGTAGGCTTCAAGAAAACTTTATTCAACCGAGAATACAAGGTTGCCGTATAGCATCCTTTTATAGTCCCAGTAAACAGAAATAGCTTTCTCAAAGAGGAGAGTAACAAAACAAGAGGAGACCGCTATTGATTATTCATAACAGTAATATCGAAATATAACACGATTAACAAAAAAAGCAGTTAAACCGAGAGAGGGCGGATAATCCGGTCTAGCTGACTTTTTGTTAATCACGTTGTATTTCGGTATTACCACTTTACGGTAATGTTATTTTCTGTTATTCCTCTTTTTTGTTATTAATTTTTCTTCTTGCTTTAATGTGCCCATTTTTTATCTTTTTAATGAAATTTTTCTACCCCTGCAAAAGTATTTTAATATTTACATAGTATGTTTGAAATCATGTACTACTTCAACATATATTTATTGCTATACGAATAAAACTTTGTGTTAGTGTTGCCAGCACAACAATGCGCAATTCTTTCCTTAGGTATCTGGGTATGACTATAAACTACATATGGCAGCAAGGCCTGTGATTGGGAGATTGGAGGTTTTTTATGGAGTGTGGAATCAAAATTGCTGTTGTTCCCACATCCACTCTGACCCGGGGTGGTAGCACCTGTTTGGGCTCCACCTATGGGCAAATAGTGAACCACAAAATACTATGAAAGTATAAGAATACATTTTTATAGTAGAATTACCAACAATAATTTTTAAAGCAGAATTACCAACAATAGATTTAATAGTAAAATGACCAACAAAACATTTTATCTGTAGTTAAAACCATAAAACTATGTTCAAAATATTTAGATTTCAGCATTAAATGACCCATAGAGGTTTATATACCGCTAAACAAATCAAAGAAACAAATAAATCCTTAGGTGCCATGCGTGATGCACGCTTGGACGATCATGTCTCCTTTTGATTTATGATTGACTTGCCGGAGGAATTCCTGCAGTAGGCTGCCGTTACTTTCTGCAGTAGACTGGTTGCCAACCTAGTCTAGAGGGCCCAGTCAGTCCTGCAATCTAAATCATAGCTGGGAAGAGAAGAAATGGATTCATATCTTTGCCAAGAGTATTTTCGCGTAAGTAAATGTAATGAACACGACTGGAATTCGAACTCGGCTCTCCAATATCTCATATCGAGCCATCATCATCACACCACCCACTCATCTAAACTTACAGCACGTTGTATTCCAAAGCGGTCATTCTTCTAGGTACTAACCAGGTTCAATGTTGCTTAATTTCGGTGATCGGACGAGAACCAATGTTTCAACGTGATATGTCCGTAAGCATTCTACGTAATAGAAATTGATACTGATGCACTTGACCCATCGACTCACTAGTGCATAAAATCCCTCCTCGAAGAATGTGATGTCAAGCGATTGAAGTTACCCTTGCACTTCTGAAACAATAGTATCATCTATATTGAAGCGCTTTCCAGGTAATTGTCGTTTGATGGATACAAACAGACGATAATGTAATGGATCCAAATCAAGTCTATACGGTAGATGGAGAAAAACACCCTAACCATATCGTTAGAGCCACTCTTTCTTGTGGGTTGGCTACGTGTGGAATGGTGGTATCGTGACCCGTACGAAAATGTCCTGGCTTTTATCGAAGAACAGCTTCCCTTAACCTTTTTCATTTAAGTCAGTAAAAGTAACAGAGGAATGTTTATTCCATTTCGACTATGAGATATTTGAACATGAATTGGAGGGGTAAAGAATTAATTTCAACTCGGAACTAATTTCACCTCGGAAATAAGGGTTAGGGTTAGGATTTTTAAATCGAGTTGAAATTAGTTTCGAGTTGAAATTAATTCCGAGTTGAAATTAGTTCTGTCACTCGAAATAAATATCTTATGTTAAACAACTTTGGCTACTCCTATTATATGCTATCAAATACAGTATATATTCTTTACGTATTTGAAACGTAGACAAAGTAATTTTTAACAAATAATGTCGGATGTATTAACTGATTAAAAATTGAAATAATTGTCAGGTTTATTAATTGCTTCAAATTACTTTGTTTATGTTTCCGGTACAAATATTTAACGTATAGACTTCGAAATGACCCAACCAGAGTTGAGCATTTCTTAAATAGGTTAATGATGTGATGAATTTCTATAGCGTAATGGTAAAGCGCGTTTTTCTTCGAAAGTTGTTTTCTAGATAAAAAGAGAATACAGGTTCGATTCCTTCTGGGAAGCGCATTAATTTTTTTTCTTTTTTGGTATAAGTTTTTTTTATCTCTACGCCAGTAGACATTAATTACACTGTTTAAAAAAATCTGGGATGCCCATTCAAGCATTTGTACCGACAAAATATAATAACGTTTGTAGTAATGTATATATATATATATATATATATATATATATATATATATATATATGAACTAAAAATGAAAAAGAAAACACTACCAGTTAAATGGTATATAATAAAAAAAAGAGGAAGAATTGCAATCTATGGATGGAAGTAAAAAATGGAAACCATGAAATTTAAAAACGTGAATGGTTAAATAAATAAAAAGAATGTAATTATTTCAAACTGTCGGTACGCTGACATATTCATTTTGAAAAACGGAAATAAACAATGATAGTTCTCTGTAGCATCCAAGAAAAAACAAACAAACGACCATTTTGAAAATTGCTATGAATGAAACGGTGTAAAATGATATTTTGTGTGTATTTAAAATCACTTTTAAAAATAGATAAAACTGTGCATTTTTATATACGTAAGAAAACTAATACGCAAATAATATATATATATATATATATATATATATATATATATATATATCAATTTACTCCAAACCAGGCGATAACGCCACTAAGATGCAAAGGGGTTCTGGAAGTGAAAGAGAAAGAAAATACTTTAGAAAAAACCGGAAACCCCAATCCTAAATATGAAACAAGGTATAAACCTGTTCTAAAGAGCGGGGAGAAGTGTGAACCGGACGATAGCTGAACCTATCTAGTATTATTGTGGAAAAAATAAATAAATAGTAAATAAAATGTCATAGTTTAGGCAAAGACGTTAGAAGTATTGAGTTGAAGTAGACTTTAGAAAGAACCGGAAGCATAATCCTAAACAGGAAACAAGGGATAAACCTCTACTCCTGTTCTAAAGAGCGGACAGAAGTGTGAACCGGATGATAGCAATTGGAAGAAACGGGCAACACAATCCTAAAATGGAAACATGGGATAAACCTCTATTCTTGTTCAAAAGAACGGGGAGATGTTTGAACTGGGTAATTCTTCAACTATAAGGAGTTAGGACTGCATTCATGCTGATACTAATAAAATGACAGTTTTTCCTCTTTCCATTTACTATTTTCCCCTTTTCACTTTTTCCTCTTTTCACCCAACCCCAACTCTTTAATATATAATAGCAATAAAAATCGAGGTAACTGAAGGGAAGCAATCGAATTCTACATGTAAGGTTAACTGAAGTGCATGCATTTTGGCAGGGGTTCGATAGGGGACGGCCTGTATATTATATTCTATTAGTTTTTTGGTTTTTTTTTAACTTAATATAAGTTGCGATATCTCCTATCAAGGTAAAATCGAATGGACGTTTAACTGCCCTTACCATTTTTTACAACTACTTCTGAATACTGTTTCACTCTTTTGTATGTTCCATCGTTGCCTGCAAGTGATAAGACAAAGAAATATTATTTTTTGAGAGGAATTGAGTGGTCCTGTCTTTCACACAAAAGCTTTTGAAAGAAAATACATCAGTGGATTACTTAATCGATTCTAATTTGATGTGTCAGAAACAACAGGCCAGTTCTTACTTTTCCTACCCGACAAATTATACCTGAAGAAAGGGTGGAAAAAAATCACCTTCGCTACTAAATCGTGTCCCTTCGCCCGCTGACAGTATTTCTATGCCCATACCTAATCGAACTCTACACCAACCACCGACCTTTATGTTTTCGTTTCAGCTGAGACAACATAGGCAGTTGGATGCCATTGCTACCTTTAGACTCAACTTGCTCCCAGGTACTGATCCTTCCTCTGCATGAACAATGGCTGGTTTGGTACCCGGTTTATATTTTATATTCTAGCTGGCAGTCCTAACCTGCTCAACCACTTGCTGACTCTGTGACTTATTCGTCATTAAGCCACTGACATTGTTGATTGTTAAACTTTATAAAAAAAAAAACAAAAAAAACTTGTCTTTGTCGTTGTCTAGGTTTATTTGGAAAACATCAAAGAAGATTGTACAGTCACTGTTTTCGTTTTTTCCTTCTACCTTACTTATGTAACCTCCGGAGTAAACAGTAAGAAAAGGGAGTTATTTCAATTGTTAGCAGAATTTTGTGTGCGTTATTGCTGCTTTTTATCATAACCTTCTCGGTTACATCATTACTATCATCATAATTCTGAAGGATCAGTGTCTGGGTGCAGGTTGCGTCCGAAGGTAGAAATGGCATCAGTCCCATTACTGGGTGTGGTGGATAGCTGAGCACCTGACCAGTTCCCTCCACGTTTCTGGGTTGAAAGCCGAAGAGATATTCATTCATTCATAGCGTGTCTTTGGCGAGTAGACCTGGCGGAGCCCATCTCTATTCAAGTCAAACTACAGCCGATGTCCTCCAATTTGAAGCCTTGACTTTGTAACAGACACATGACTATTGATTCCATCGGGGAAACACCCCTCCCTGACCGCTGGCTTCAGCTTAGGAAGCTCTTTGCCCAGCGATGCCGTGTCACCACCGTACTGGTCTACCTCATTATGTCAGATTACCACAGGCCCTACAAGAAGGTTTATATGCTCTTTGGCAGGTCTTGTTTTTAATCCTGCTGGGATTTGTGAGGGGGGAATAATTTTTTTCGGATATGAAATCGAGCAGATATGGGCTTCTGAGAAAATCTGAATAAGGGAATGTGCATTCGTTAAAAGGGGAAATAGAACCTTGCTGAGCTGTGAGATTCTCTGTGGCCGAGTGGTTTAAAGCATGTCAAATCAAGCAGTAGTTTTTCCTACAAAGATTCGAACCCTGTCGGAGAGCACATTTTGTATGTTAAGATTTCTCGGGTGGGTAGGCTTGTAGATTTAATAGACACTGTTTAAATTTTTTAAAAATGAGGCGTTTCAGACACAGATATCCACGAAAAATAACGTTTGAAGTAATAAAAATGTCAGATAAAAAATAAACCCATGAACTTTATATATATATGTATGTATGTATGTGTGTGTGTGTGTGTGTGTGTGTGTGTGTGTGTGTGTGTGTATAAAAAGTAAAATAAAATTGAGAAAGATAAGCAGCTTCCGCCGAGACTAGAACTCGCATCTTCAATCATAGGAGATTTTCTAAATATATGGCCAACGCGTTAACCTATTCAGCCACGGTGGTTAAATATTTAAGTAATTGCTTCTTTTATGTGCCATGTTACCGCAAGTGATGGATGATCATAGCTCTCCACAACTTCCTATTTTTCTTCCTCTATATAGCCTTTTGCTCTTTACCATCCTTTTTGTCCATGTTCTATTATCCATTCACACAGCTAATTAAGTTTCCCTTGTTTCCCTTACCTTAATTGTCTTGCGAGTGTTAAATTCTCCAGGCCATCTTTCCTCATGATGTGCCAGAGAAATTTCAACTTTCTGATTGTAAGTATAAGTTTCCTTGTAATTGGTGTTTTCTTTAAAACTTTTTCATTGTTTATATATTAACTTTCATATAGGAGATCAGATATTATATAAATGATAGAAGGTAGAAAGTCGGGAGGTAGCCGGTATAGCGTTTGTGTTGTTAACGGTCGAATTTTGAAATGAACGTGAGTTTCTATGTTATGATTGCGGAATAAGTTTTAATGTCTCATTGCGAAAATGACCGTGCGAGTGGGTTGCTTTTTCTTTTTTTTTAATGTAAAGAGCTTTCGAGATTTGTAAACGTTTTCATTTTTTTTTTTTTTTTTTTTTTTTTTTTTTCAGAAGTGACAGATTATTGTTATATCGTCGACGAAAATCTGACAAAAATAAAAATGGGTGCCGTCGATTGGAGTTTTCCTCAAAAACGTCTAACAGTATTTGGAAGTACTCGGAATATCCCGTTACAAGTTTTTACTCGTCATCAAACAACTTATCCGACACCAAGAAAAAATAACCACAAGGTTTATATATATATATATATATATATATATATATATATATATATATATATATATATTCCCATTTGTGTATTTTTATAAAACATAAGATGTACTTTGTGCTCGATGAGCTAGAAAACCAGCGAAACTTAAAGAAACACCTAAACGTAGGTATTTGTATATGTATATTTA